CGACAAACTTTCAACTGAGCCAATTAGAAACCATATTCGCGTCACATATATTTGTATGTGAAAAAGGTTTTAGTACAAATCAACATCACACAATAACAAAACCATTTAAGCGAGTCTGTACGTTACACGGACAAACTACTTGATGTATAAGCGCCACCGTGCTGCGCGCAGCAATCTGTGTCATTCGCTATTCCAGTTTAGACCGCTATCCATCTTGCCTTTGCTGATTATATCATTTTTCTTTTCCATATTTTTTTCTCCAGTAATCATTGCCGCTGCGTCAATCTGATGCGTCTGGTAAGTTTCAAAAATGATGCGCCTGCATAAGCACAACGTTTGTATACTTCAAAATCACTTCTGTTGGCACCACCCCAGCCTAGTGAACCATCGCTTGCACTATGAAGATATGACGTTAAATTTTTTTAAACACAACATATCGAGGATGATCAAGCTGAAAGAAACTCCAATATACTTCAATATGCTTTCAGGATGTGCTATCGCCGTCATTGTAAGCGTAGGCTTTTCATAAAGATCTTATTCCTGAGCGCATTTTTTAAATAACAATATGTGCTCGTATAAGATAATGAGAGTTCTCGAGTTCTTGGCATATTCGAATCATAAATTGTACCATCGGGTTGCGAAGGAGTAATAGAGAATCCTGTCTCTTCACAACAACTCAGACAATAAATGCGGTCGTTCTTCGCGATCCAAAATGACATGTCTTCAGCTGACTTGTTTGACTTTAAATGCTTTGAAAATGCCAACGTGTACACAAATATGTCTTTAAGGGGTATTCAGCGGATGCCAGAGCCAGGGAACATTCAAGTACTTCGTGTGAGTGAAGTCCATTACTGTCGTCCACGATTTTCTTAAAACAGGGTAGGAGACTCCATTATTTTTTTTGTCCCGTCACCTTCCGGTACACCTGAGTTTACGCTATTATAAGCTTTGCTATCAGGCGGTCATTTCGTAGCTGTTCGCGATGACGATCGAAACTATTTCAACTCCGTAACCCAGCGTCTTCCGCGCAAATCTTATTAGCCGAGCTAATATTATCTCTCGCAGTTTCCAAAAGTAGCTCAAGTAATCCCCCTCTACACAGTATTCACCGTAAATTTATCATATATACAGGATGGAGCACAGCTGCAATGGTGTGGTGCTGATCGGCGAGCGAATCTTACGGTATTGGACCGAAAGCGGACGGTCTGACATGTAAGTAAAGCTTTCAATCGCGCCGTCGCTTTTTGCATTGCTGCCTAACTGACGCCTTCGATGTTTTGCTCTTCAAAGATTGGCGCGGTTGTTGTCTACCTTAGGCGAATTTGCAGGTCGTGAGACGAGCTCAGGTGCTTTTTACAATCAAACTTATCAAAAACGGACGCATTAGCTTATAAAAAATTTGCCAGACCTTCCGCGATTGCTGTATGAGCTCGTGTGGATCGTTCTGCATGCTAAACTTACAAAACAAGAGATTGTTGGATTATTCAAAGAAGCCAATCTGGTACGCAGAGAGTTACGTTCATACCAAATGCTGTTATTATGTCTTGCTTGATTAATTATATGCAGGCGAGATACCCAAAGGCATGTGACCTACTGACGGATCTGTTATGGGTCATTGGTAATGAAGTGGAGGTTAGCGAGCGTGGCCATGGAGGCCACACATCAAGAGAGTGGCGTCATTTATGTGCACTGGTAAAAGCCATTGCAGACGAAGAGATTGTGTCGTTACTGAATTTAAAAAGTTTGCTTGAATTTGATTTGCTGCATGACGCCGACCTGGCACCCGAGCCGCAAGTTCAAGCTAAAAGAATGATACGAATAAATACAAAGACGCTCTATACACAGACCAAGTACAATTTGCTGCGTGAGGAGTCAGAGGGATTCTCGAAAGTTTTATGCTTATTACACACAGGAGTTACTAAAAGCCAGCTCGAGGCAACAAAAACCGATTTGATGGCACTAATCGGATATTTTGATCTAGACGCGAATCGTGTTTTGGACTTAGTGTTAGATGCATATGAAATGCACCCAAGAAACGACTGCTTTGCACAGCTTCTGGATATTTTCAAGCGAGAAAGCTTGCCGCATATCATCGGCTTTAAATTTCAATTTTACAAACGCGAGCTTCCTACTGAGGAACGTCTCACAACGCCCCGATCGCTTTATCGTCTAGCCGCAATTCTTTTGAATAAACGACTTCTTGACTTGGATGATATCTTGCCACACTTGGCACCGTCTCGAGAGGCAATTTTGAAAGCTTCGTTGGAACACGAGAAAGAGATTATCAAAAAAGCAAGATCCTTTGGCCAGGTGAGTCTCGCTGCTAAAAAAGATACTGTCCAGCCAGATGGTGATGATGAAGTAGTATTAGCAATGGAGCGCAAGAAGGAAGCAGAGCATTACCAGGTGTATGGGGTGATTGTCGGTCTCTTAGAGATTGGCGCGCGGGAACGAGCTTTTGAAATGATTACGTGGTTTCAAAAGCGCGGTGTGAACCCGCTTACATATACGCCCTTAACCAGAGAGCTTTGCGCTGTTGTAAATGTGATGATCGAGAACGTGTACGATTTATTATCATATCGTACTTTGCGGCTTGTTAGTGGTATGGACGATGCACTTGAAGATACCGACATTACAGCTCAGTCAAGTTCTATCAACGGCTACATACGACGTGTTGCAACGCTAGAAGACTGTGTTACGGAGGTTTTTCCTATCGTTGAAATGATTGGACCGCAACTTTATTGTGACCAATTTCTTTTCGTTAAGCTACTCAGAATTGCTGGTAAATTAGCTGATGAACAGACCAAGAAAATGACTACTTCAGATACCACAATTGATAATGATCTTGCCGGCAAGGTTAAGTCATTGCTGGTCAATACTTTTCTTCCTGCGATGTCATTACAAGAATGCAACCCAAGCACGTCATTTCTCATTTGGGATTTGCTGAAATGCTTACCATGTGAAGAGCGCTACCGCATGTATCTGCGGTGGTTTGAAGCTTACGACAAGCATCCACAACTGCGCTTAAAAGAGGCGGAGGTAGTGCAGAGCACTCGTGGCGTCATGCGACGACTTACAGCTGACCGAGCAAAGCTGTCGGCTCGCAGTCTGACTCACGTAGCACACTCAAATCCTTTGATTGTTTTCCGCACAATGCTACGCCAGATCCAGTCATATGACAATCTGATTCAGCCCGTCGTAGATTCTTTCAAGTTTGTGACGCCATTAGGGATGGACGTGCTTTCATTTGTTCTAGTAAGTGAGTTAGCACGACCGCAGAAATCAATGAAAGCGGATGGGACCCACGTCTCTTTGTGGCTTTCCTCGCTAGCAAACTTCTCCGGAAGCTTTTATCGCAAGTATCCGAACGTGGAGCTCTCAGGATTGCTGCAATATCTAATCCAGCGTCTGCTAAGCTGGGCGTCTGTAGATCTTATCGTGCTAAGCGAACTACTCACAAAAATGGGATCATGTCTGAGCTTAGAGGATATCTCGGAGAGTCAATTGGAAGCGCAAGCCGGTGGCCCACATTTGTGGTTCGAGCCTACGGATCCAAAATTTCAGAACCGCCGTGCCATCCCAAAGTTGCGCGATGCTCTTATCAAACGAAACATAGCTTTGCCGCTGTGTATTCTCATTTGTCAAATGCGCAGCCGTATCGAGTATCATGAAAACCAAGAGTTGCCACATTTGAAGCTGCTTGGTCGTATATTTGATATGTGTCAGCTCACTTTCAGCCAGCTTTTGCAATTTCTTGGCGGAGTTGTTGACCCGATAGTATATCGAAAAATGCTTCCATCAGTCACGACGCTAGTTTGCGATTACAATGTTCAGCCAGAGTTGGCTATGGCTCTTTGTCGTCCAGCGATGCGCAGCGACGATCCATTACTGCGAACAGCTCCGCGAAGTGTGCATGCTACAGGTGGCTCGAGCACGACCAATGATAAAGCACCCATTAATGAAGAAATACTTAACGGAGCATCTTCTGACGAACAAAGATGGTTCATGTACAACCAAGATTTCCTAGACGATGTTAGACAAGCTTTAAACGTCCACAATAATCCTGACTACAAATCCGGAGACCCGTTTACAGGACTAACTCCTGAAGTATACGCGACGTTCTGGGGGCTCAAGCTCTATGATATACATGTCCCGTTTCAGCAGTATGAATCAGAGATACTTCGTCTACGTAACTCAGTCACTTCGGGAGCAAATGCATCTCTTGGTGCCAGCGAACGAAAGAAGCTGAAAGAAAAGATGACGCAGATGATCGACGTGCTCACAACGGAACAGAAAGACCAGGTGGCGCACCGAAAACGCGTGTACGAGCGACTTGAGAACATGAAGGGCAAGTTCTTTACTGACGAGCCCAACGACCGTAAAACTGCGCTTGACGAGTTACTGCAGAAGTGTGTGATACCTCGTTCCCTCATGTCACCCGAGGACGCGCTTTTTGCTGCCAAGTTTATGGAGCGCTTACACACTTTATCCACGCCGCAGATGAGCACACTGCAGTACATTCACAAAGTCAATATAAAAGTGTCGGCGATTGTACTTTGCGCTACCGAGCGCGAGGCAAGTAATTTTGGTTTCTTCATGAAAGAAACGCTGGGATTCGTTTTGCGTTGGTATCAAAACGGGGCGACGTATGATGATGAAGCGATCCACGGGAAGATTGGTATGAGCCTGGATTTAAATGATGACAATAAATTCCTTGCCCATCGCCAATTTAAGACGGCCTATGCTCACTGGCACCAGCAGCTCGAGCTTGTATACACCACAGCTCTCTCGAGTGGCGAGTACATGCAGATCCGTAACTCGCTGGTAGTTCTTACAAAGCTTATAGATGTGTTTCCAGCGGGTCGTGGAACAGCTGATGTGATTCTTGGCATTGTGGAAACTCTGACGAATGAGGAACGAGAAGACATCAAGATCATGGCGAAACGATATTTTGCTCTACTGACAAAGCGAAAAATATCACTAATTGACGACAGATTATTGCGTACTCGTATTGTTCCATCAAAATCAACTATAGCTGTCGCATCGGGCAACGAGAAAAGAATTATTTTGGAGTCTGTGGTTGAGAGCAAAAAGAAAGATGATGACGTAGGTGTTAGGAAGAGTGATGATAAGCGCGAGAGCTCAATCAAAACAGCAAGCAATTTTGTGGAAAGCCAAGAAGTGGAAAGTGGTGAGATTGTGCTGGGAAAAAGCAATAGTAGCAGCGAGAGTTCTGTTGCCGTGTCTTCACGGTTAAAGCAACGAGATACGCGTGGTAACGATCGCAGTCGTAGTAATATAAGCGCGCGGATAAATTCAACAGATGATGCACATGACCGCTCCACTCGTTTAGAACGTCAAGAGCCTGAAGATCGCCCCAATAGACCCACAGAATATTCTCGTTTAAGTGAAGAAAGACGCGGTCAACATGACCACCGCGATTCTTTGCCTGCCATTGGTGGTCATAGTGGCTCTATGGACAGTCGCACCAATGAGTTGAACGAACGCGGCCGTTCCGCGCCCCGAGGTATACGTGAGAACTCTACCGGAGCTCGTCGGAGTCGATCAGGCGAACGAATGCATGACCCTGAGAATACGAATGATAACCTTCGTACTTCGCGTGAGCGTGAGGTCGAGATAGGACAATTCCATCGTACAGAAAGAGGAGACGTCGATCGTCGAAGCCGAGACATAACCTTACTTCATAATGATCGTAATCGCAGTCAGGAATCTAAAACGAGAGCGCGTGACGTAATGAGCGCACGGGAAGAGAGCGAGCCGATTGATTTGTATAGAAAATCTGAAACATTTAAGCCAAGCCCGGTACGAATTGATGAAACTCAAAATGTTGCTTTGTCACCAAAGCCAGATCGAGAATGTGAGCCTGGCACAATGAACCGGGGAGTGAGGATAGAGCGTGAGAATGAATATTCTGCTCTCGAAGCTGGTCATAGAAGTGCCAGACAGTCTGAACAAATGGAAGCTGCTCTGCGCCGTCAGTTGACGGCGGGGAAGGAAGCAAAAGCTAAGGAGCAGCAGCAATCCGGAGAGCGAATGTGGCCAGTCGCACGAGATCGCACGCGGCCTCCGCTTCCCGCAACGACGACGGCAGCCACGACTGATATAGTCTTGCCTTCGGATCCGGAAACAACAAAGAAGATCGTGTCGCTCGTGTCCTCGTCCCGCAAGCGCGAGCGCGAGCGCGAGCTTGTGGATAAGAGCGAGATACCCACTGCGAATGCCCTAGACGGAAAGAGGCGTCGTGATGGAGGAAGTAGCAAGGGCGTTGGTGGTGGAGGTGACTCAAAGTACGGACAGGATGAAAAACGTAAGCGCAGGAACAAAGGCGGAGTAGGCGATGGCAACAAAGGGAACCAACTCCAGCGCGACCACATGTGAGTGATTTCCCTTTGAGACGACATTAAGATTGTATGGTAATGGGGCTTATGATTATAGGCGTGGACGGCAACAGGACCGTAATGGCCGCAACAATGGCAATATTGACAGACGTGGTAGCCAAGACGATCGGATTAATGTTGGAAACAATGCAGGCCGTCGGCGAGATCGCAATGAGAACAGAGGAGGCCGCAGGTAGACTGAAAAATAAAGATGCCTTTACCAGCAGCAAAAAAGTATCCAGCGAAAATATGTCCTTCAAGATTTGAGCCATGTGGTGGCATTAGTAAAGCTCTTTAGCAGATTATTTGCTGTCTCATGCACATAGCTAAGACCTTAAGAATCATCTCTAAATATGACACCGCGACGTTTGGCGCTCGTATTTCCTGGCCAAGGTAGTCAACGCGTAGGTATGTGCAAGGACTTGCTAGCCGATTGGCCTCGTATTGTTGGCGACGTGCTGGAGGAGGCCAGTGAGGCCACGGGCCTCAATTTAAAGCGCCGAATGACGGAAGGTCCGAATGATGAGCTCACGTCCACCCATGTCGCTCAGCCGGCGCTGCTGTCAATGTCTATGGCGGTACTACGTGTTTTGCAGCACGAAGTGGAGCTACCATCAATTCGCTTCACTCTGGGTCATTCACTAGGCGAATATTCAGCGCTGGTGGCAGGTGAAGCCATCAAATTTGCAGATGCTGCTCATCTTGTTTATTTTCGTGGATTGGCAATGCAGCGAGCTGTAGCTCCAGGCGTAGGCGCTATGGCTGCTCTGCAACCTGTGTGTCCCAAGGATGCTGAGACGCTTTGTCACGAGGCTGCATTACAGACGGGAAAAGTCTGTCAAGTGGCCAATTACAATTCGATCAAGCAGACAGTTATTAGTGGTGATGCTCGGACTGTGAAGGTTGCCATTGCTCAAGCCAAAGCCACCGAGAAAGCACGACGTGCTGTGTTGCTAAATGTTAGTGCTCCGTTTCACTGCGCACTGATGGAACCTGCTAAATTAGAGCTGCACGAGCAGCTTAAGCAATTACTATCCGACAATAAATTACATAAACCGAAGGTGCCTGTAGTGTGGAACGTCGAAGGGAGGGCGACGACGAAGTCACCTGATGAGATTGCTGAAGTATTGAAGAAGCAGGTAGTGCATGCCGTTCGCTGGAGTGATAGCATCGATTATTGCGTGGCGAAGGGAGTAAATGAATTTTTGGAATTGGGCGTAGGCGGCGTGCTTACTGGCCTAATCCGACAACACTTGGGCAAAGGCGACGTGACGACCACCAGCTGTGGTACCACCGACGACATCAAAGCGTTTTTAAAGACATCGCAGCAATGAGCAGTTTTACTTCAGTTTCTTTCAGGTAGGCTGAAAACTATACTTATGGGTGTTTTCCTCTCTTGCTTTCCAGTCTCTTGTCTTACTTCCAATTACCAGCATATAGCATGTAATGAGCACTAAAAATGCTCCATCAATATACGATTTAAACTCCTTATTCAGAAGCGGTTGTACCCAGGCTTCGTTGAGCTGACAGCAGAAGCGCAAATTAGTGCTATTACTAATCGCCACACATATAACAACGTACCTGCACGCTTAGCCAGCACCTCCTCTCTGTATTGAGATATAACGTGAGCACCATCACCGCTCCTAACAAGAATTTTTATCCATACCTAGCAAAAAACTCCGAGTCCGTTTCCGGGACATTGCTGAGACCAAGGTAGAGAATAATGGGTCCACCCAACATTCCCATGTAGGCTGAGTATTCCCAGCCCTTGCGCTCGAAGCGGTGTGTGCCCTTAAGATAAAAGCTATAAGGCAACTGCAACTAGAGATATAGGGATAATAGGGCGCACATTGTTGCTGAGCATAGGAGTCTCTGGCATATGCACTCGAGGCTTGGTGTGGCTGGCGAAGAAGCGATTGCCCAGCGGGTACACCCAGCGGTTCATTATTGGCTTCATCTCGTGGCGTCTGCACCTGACAATTGAAGAGGTACTATTGATTGGATCAAAAGAAAATATTTTGAGCACTTATACTTGTAATTTACTCACTAATCTAGGTGCTATATGTACCAGCTGCCAACTTCTCTCCAAAGTGCATCTCCTACACAATCAAGAGGTCAGTAAGTGGCAAATTAGTGATAGTCAGACGCTTTCTACCTTGAAAGGACCGATTGTTATCGGGTGCACAGCAGCAACGTCTAAGAATGCGGCTCGATGGCTGTTGAGCGGTTCATTTAACGTGCCTCGTGAAAATTTACCACAATAGGAAATCACGCCCATTATGTCCGACGTAATTGGATTGACAGGCTGGCGACGACGCGCAGACTCAGCGAGTAGCAGGACTAATGGTTTGACCACGCCAGGTAAAAGTGGCACTAATTGCTGAAAATGTTCGTTAGCGCGGGCATGAACAAAGATCTGTGAAGTTGGAAATGACAATGTCAGAAACGACGTATAAATCATACAAACAAAGTTTACTTGAGTGGCAACGACTGTGAGCAGCTCATTTTTCAGAGTCGAGTCTCGTCGAGCCTCAATCACACTTAAATCTGCATCGACACTTTGTGCAATTGAAGCAAGAGAAGCGGCCGCTGCCACTACCTTTTGCTGCGCTTTTTCATAGTCAGGCGGGCTTTTGCGCTGGGCTTCGGCGTTGCGCTGGGCTGAATCATAGTCGCTGATCTGCAAGAAAATTAGACGATGCAAACGCAAGCATTAAGCCCCGCAAAATCAAACCTTTTGTTTCAGAGCTCGGAGTTGCAGATTCAGAGCGGCATTTGTAGAACGTAATTCTTGCATCGGTTGCATTACTGCCTGGAACTGGAGAGATTGGGCCACATCAAACACGTTTTCTTTTAGCGACTGCTGAATCTCCTCTACACGAAGAGAACTTTGAGCTAAAGGTTGAATCTTCGAAAGTTGGTCACCATTTTCACATGAAGACACGGCTGCCACAACGATGAGAACTGATAAGACTTCCGATGCAGTTGCGAAGAATAAATAAGTTTGTATTGCATATACCATCTTGCGCATTCTGCATCTGTGACTCAAAGAAAGCGGAAAACGCATGCATCAAATGAGACGTGGCCTGAGCATATGTGCGCATCGCGTTGCTATATTGCGTCATTGCTTTGGAAAGGTCTTCCAGCCGATCATTGTAGCGATTGAATCTGCAGAGATATTGCTACGTAAAGGCTTTAAGACTGTGTAAAACATCCTCCCATACCTAAACGTGCGGTACTCAAGCACTGGATCGACGCTGTCATCTGCTCCTCCTCCAATCGAACGAGCGAATTCGTCTTTCAATCTAATGAAACAACCCATCAGTTTCGAGTCATGAAAAAGACGGGAGCCTCGCACCGCCGGGAACCGTCTTTTACGCCCTTCAAGAGGGAACCGTCCTTCACGTTTTTCATCAGCTAGTAGAATAGCGTACGCATCAGTGAAAACCTTAGACTATAGCCGTTCCATCCATCGCCCTACCCAGGATGCCATGACCACAAGGTGCAGAAAAGTTCGCGACTGGTCACACTCGATCAAATGGCTAAATTAGTCACTGTCGTAACCTAGATTGACGGCTTTATATGAGTAACATTGAAATGCCCCGCAAATTTATGCTGTCTTCCTCGTTCACTTTCTCAATTCAACTGTGACTCCCGGATCTAAGAGTTCAACTTGAATGATGAAACTAACTTGGCATCTCTGTATTTTGTCATCGTTGCTTGTGCAATCTGAAGGTCGTCCGTCATTTGTTGCTTTGATTCCGAATGGCGACAAGGTGATGGGCGTTGCTGCATTGGGCCACGTAAATCCTGCGGGTGGAGGAGTGACAAATTCCTTTGGTAAGGCTTTTAGTAATGCTGGCCATGAGTGGATTAAAGAATTGTGCGAGGAGGACTCGGATGGAGATGGTGCAACGAATGGTCAAGAATTGGGTGATCCATGCTGCACCTGGACCCCTTCAACCGGTAGCTCGATCTCTTCTTTGCCGACTCACCCAGGTGTTCCGAATTCTTTTACAAGTGAACAACTTGCTGCTATGACATGCAGTGATGAGGCAGACCAAAACTTTGTTGCCTCAAGCGACACGTCCTCATCGACTTCAGCTATTCCGTCAGCTATCAGCGAGGGTATCAGCAACAGTGGCTCACTCGACGACATAATTGTCACTGAATTTCAGCCTCGCATCTCTTCTGAACCTAAAGTCGATCAAACGTCTTCTCCTCTCGCAACTTCGGAAGCCATAAATCTTGAGGCGTCATTAGTTGTTATGTATTGCTTCAGCTTTACCACCTTAGCTTTTATGATGTAATTTGATAAGCAAATATTTCTTTAATTGGTGTTCAATACTTGAGCATGGTTGGGACTACCAAAGACAATTACGCAGATCTGTTCACTCGAGCTCTCTGCGGCGCTGAGAAAAATACACACAATACATCAGGTAGCACGAATAAAGCTACCATTGGTGGCTTTCTTGTGTGTCTTAACGTCCCACCGGCAACCGAGTTTGGCATAGATTACGAAGTTTTTCGTACTGGTTCCAAGTTCTTAGGCGTCAAGTTTCTCCCATTAGGAATCCACTTCGTAGTTTTTCGTTCTCGCGAGCAAGAACATGGCATTCGTCAAGGCTTTTTTGTCAACATAGAACGTCATTCTCAGGTGATTGTACGGGAGTGGAGTGTGGAAAAGGAAGAGCTGGGGTCGCCACAACGAGAACTTAACGTTGAAAATCTAGAAAGTATGTACGGTGTGTATAAGTGGGCTCTGCATTCGCTAACAGATGCGTATTGCAGGAGCTGTGCTGACATTTCAGTTGGATAGTGGACTTGGCCCATACCCAAAACAGCATTTAAAGACATGGCATCGACTTTCGAACTACATTTCCGCCTCGGTGCTGCAGGTTTCGATTAGATTAAATTGCGGATATCTATAGCTAGTTTTGATTTGAACATATTGCAGCGCTGTGGTGTAGAATTTGGAGTCATACTTTTACCCGGACATGCAGTTGAAGATGTGCGATTTTCTTGCGAAACGCAGGACGGAGTAATACCCTACTTTCCTGACTTTCCTAGAACAGTGCGATTTACACCGCTGCAGAGGACACGACAGGATTTGACAGCAGAGGCAAGGACAACATATTATTTCGATCGAAGGTAGAATACACAAAAATTGCTAAGTAGTGCTGCATTTTTGCTTTTGTTGACACGTGCTGGATCAAATGTAGTGAGAGGCTTGAAGAACTAATAGAAGAGGCATTTAATGGCGACTGGAAGGAGGTCATTGGCGAGCTTCAAGTGGCATTTCTGATATTTTTGCAGCTATCATCTTTTGCTGCACTAGAACAATGGAAGCAGGTAAGATTGCTGTTTAAATTGTGGTAGGGAAAATAAGTAATTTGTGTGATCTTCTCGTTCGACTTCAGTTCATTGCAATGATGTGTTCGTGCGAGCAAGCACTCTCGTCGTATGTGCCACTATTTCTGGCTTTTATGAAGCTATTGATGACACAGTTGGAGCAGGTACTTCAATTTACAATTCAAGACGCGAGCTCGCTAATATGGCTGTCCCTGTATACAGATTCCTGAGGATTTTTTCCAGGACGAATTGTCTTCCAAAAACTTTTTGAGTCCTTGCTTAGTATCTCTGCTAGAGCTGATTGAAGACAACGACACTCCACCACAGGTAAGAAAAGAAATCCTACATTTTACTTGAAGTTATGAATACTAAGAATGTCTTCTTGGTATTGATTATGATCGAATAAGCTTCGACAAAAAGCTCCTGTATTGAGACATCTACTTGCCAGTCGATTTCACTGGAATTCAGATGCAGAGCTCGGATTGGATGAGTTATCTCCTGTGATAGTACCCGAAAACGAGGTAATTGCGTTATGGCGGTGCAAACGATGTTTGTACTGTTTTTGACAAGAAATTTCAGTATGCTACAATGTGAAGGTTAGTGGTTACTGAGACGTTTTTTGCTGTTTCACGCAGCTTTCCATTCATGGTGAAACTTATACGACGTCTTCATCATTATCATCGCTGCCTGCATCTCTTGCACAGCTGCATCGCCGGCAAGAGGAGGAGCGAACAAATGCGGCAATTGCTGCTGCATTTTTTAGGAAATGATCTACAAATGTAGTGTAGGTTGATGAACTAATAGTGATTTTCATACAAAAACTTCAATAAATTTGCGCCACATCAGCGTTACATTAACCCGTTGGCTGGCTGGCCCGTTTGGCTCACACAATATTTCAGTCCCCCTTCACCCGCGATAAGGGGAGAGCTTTAGGGAGAAGTTGATGGAAGCATGAAGTCGCAACATATCAGTTCCAACTCTGGCGGCCGCGGCGGCTACGGCCCCACTGGCGGTGCGCCACACCCTCGTGGTAACCCGCACCACCTTGGTCTGAATATTTATATCTGCTTTAACGAATTCTGAAATTTTTACTGACTCAATGCAACTGCCGTATGTGACTTCCTACAGAGTATAGACCCAAAGGTGTCCAACAGCATCTTGATGCGCACTCACAAATGCCATCACCTGGAGCTGACGGAATGGACATTAATGCGCCAGTTTTTAAGCAGAATGGAGGCTTTAGCCTGCAACATGTGCGTTATTTGACTTTTTCCTGATCTTTTGGCCTCATTCTCATTTTTCTACTTGTTATAGACAGCAAGACCTTATCATGGCACAATGGGGTACGGTCATAGTCCAATTATGAATAATGAACCCCGACCTGTTATCCCACAACAAATGCGCGGGCCTCCTGGTGGTCACCATCATCATCAACAGTCACGTATGCGTCCTCCACGAGGCGCCATGCATCACCAGCAACAGTATATGCCGAGAGGTGCAATGAATACAACTGCACAAGGATACTATCCACCTCAAATGCAAATTCCACCGCCATACATGATGGGTCCAGGTCAGTACATGGGAGGTCCACCCATGTATGGGATGCCTCCTATCCAGGATATAGGTATGGGTGTGGCAGGAATGCCTATGCCCATGTCAGTTCCACAACATCAGCCACCTCCTAAGCGTGAGCGAAAGAGACTCGATATTGTTGACCCAAAGACGGGAAAACCAATTGTTCTTGGAGGCAGTTCGACTGTTGCTTCAGTGGCAGATGACTCGAAAGCGATGGTGCCCAATGCTTGCTCTCCAGCCCAAAGCACTCCAAAAAAGGAGTCCGCGTCTGTAGATTCTTCCGCTTCACCTCCTTCACAGACTTCAGAAACTGACTCGAAACGAAGTGGTTCGATGACTTCAGCCTCTAATACACCTAAAATGTTTTCTCCGGTGAAGATGACTGCTGAAAGTCTTTTAACAGGAGCAATAAAGCCTGATGAGGAAGTCAATGAGGCTGGAGTAAAAAAATTAGGGTCATCGGAAGCTGTTAAGAAGTCTAACTGCCAGGATGCTGCGATGGATATTGACAAACACAAGACCGAATCGCCTGTTAAGGTTTCATCGACGACAATCACCACTCCCACCACGACTACTCGTTCATCTGGTAATGTCAGCTTAGAATCAAAACTAAAGCCTGCTGTAAAGCAGGAAAGTGTCTCGAGCAAGCAACCGACGACTATTTCCCCCAAAAAGAAAGTTTCTGTACAAGATGCCGCTCCGAACGCACTCCAACAAAAGGCTCTGGTTGTGGAAACTGAAGACGAGGTAAATGATGACGCATCAACTCCAAGGACTATAGAGAAAACAAAAGATGTGAATATAGCTTCACAAAAAATAGTGAATGGCAAGATTACTTACACACTCGAGTGTATGATGAGGTGTGTATTCAACGGATGAATTTTGGTTTAGCTCCATTCACGTTATCATTTTCTGCTTGATAATATTGTAGCTTTCGTGAGCAATACAAAGAAGTTCCTGCCGCTGCAGCTGCTCCGGATTCCGATTGGCCAACTATGGATATAATCAGCGAAGTAGCTGTATCTCGCAGTGGATCTAGGGGTGGACGCAACAGTGCTGGATGGGAACGCGGCGAAAAACAACCGGGTAGTTCAGGAAGGGGGTCCCGCGGTAACCAGTGGGCTCGTTCTCAGGATCTGCCAAAGCGTGGTCGAGGAGAGAGAGGGGGCCGTGGTGGCCGTGGGGGGCGCGGTGGTCCTCCCGATCCGCCTCTTCTGGAAGGCCCTGTTAAGCCTTTGACCCGATCCGCGAACCGATGGATTCCCACGAAAAATGCCTCGACTTTAGAGGTAATGAAAAAAAATGTGAATGGCATTATGAACAAGATGACTCGTGAGAAATTCAGTCGGCTAGCCGGACAATTGACTTCTATCAACATGGAAAGCCTGGAAATGCTCCAGGCAGTCATAAAAATTATTTTCGACAAGGCAGTGAATGAGCCCAATTTTTGCGATATGTACGCGGATCTTTGTGTCCATTTGGAAGCCAATTGGATAGTTTGGTCGTTTTTAAAAATAGTTCAAAATGACGATGATAAAATGTTCTATTGGACGGCGATGTCTGATGCAGACTCGGAAGTGGTCGGCCCTTTTGACGACGTAACTAGTGCATTAGAATCGGCCAACAGCGAGGAATTTGAACCAGTTTCTGCTCCATCTAACATGAAACTTAGTGAAGTTCGAGTGCGAAATCACAAATTTATAAAGGTTTGGGTGGAAGAAGATCCGAACAAGTCTCGGTTCTACTGGTCAGGTCAAGATCTCGACGATCTCGGAAATGACCAAGTGCTTGATGGCCCCCATAATAGTCACGAGGCCGCCAGCCGAGTCGCAATCAAGACTTGTTCTTTTAAGCGTATTCTGCTGAACGCATGCCAAGAAGAGTTCGAGAAGGACAACATTTACGAAGAGCTAGAAACTAGGTTTAAAAAGGACAAGGATGAAGGCAAAATTAGCCCGCAAATGGAAGCTGATTATGAGGAGAAGCGTCTAATTATGAAGTTACGTATGCTCGGAAATATTCGCTTTATTGGTGAGCTATATCGGAAAGGAATGCTTCAGGAACGCATCATGCACGAATGCATAATGAAGCTGATGGATGTTTGTCCCAACACTGATGGAAATTTGGGTTGCGTTCATCCTGACAACCCTCCTGATGAAGAAAGTATTGAGTCTCTGGCTAAGCTGCTGACCACGATGGGAAAAGACTTAGATACACACGGAGCCGAGGGGTCAATGTCATTGTACTTTCAGTATTTGGAGAATAAGCTGGTGAAAGACAAACGTCTGTCATCTCGTATCAGCTTCATGA